GCCAAATCACCCAGGAATTCCTCTGCTGCTGTAAGAAACTCATATCAGAGTGGTATAAGATCGTCTCATAGAAGAAAAAAGGCAACTCCACATGTATTGCCAGAGACCTAAGCTCTGTGGGGCATCTGTGTCTGCAGAGAGGGTGAGAGGCTGGGGAAGCCTCCCTCCTGCCACCCCAGCAGGAGGCTGCGCATGTCTCCCAGATGTGTTTATCTGATGGTTGACTTTGCCATTCTGGGCTCTTCATTCCTGAGCTCCTCCCCTTCCCCACCTCTTCCCCTGAGAACACGTAATGAATGAATAAAGACTGAGTGCCGGGTGCCTTCATTCAGGAAACATCTAGGTGGCGTTTACTTTGTGCTGGGCCCTGCAGGCACAGAGGCAGGGGCTCTGTCTTTCTGAAGCTTAGTGTTCCTCCACGGCTCCTGGATTTCCAACAAATACAGCCCAATGTCCACCGGCAGTGGCAGTCGTTGTCGCCTTGGTCACAGTCTTTTCCTCATGCTGCGGTGATCCTGTGACCTGCAGTGTAGTACCGAGCAGAAGTGGAGATGGGGGGCATCTTCATTATATTGTGAACCTCAGAGGGAAGGTTGGCTTGCTCTGGACTCTGGGGAGGTTTCCCTCTAGATTTCCTATCAAATTGAGATGTTTCCTCCATTCCTAGTTTTCTCATTTTTTAAAAATCTTGAACGGTGTCGAATTTTGTTAAATGCTTTCTTCTACTTCTTTGAGATTGTCATAATGTTTTTTTTTTTTTTTGGTTACATTGATCTTTAAAAACATAAACCTGCTTTATTGAGATATAATTTACACACAACGAAAAGCATTCCTTTTAAGTTACAGGCATACCTTGTTTTACTGTGCTTTGCAGATACTGTGGGATTTTTTTTTTTAAACAAATTGAAGGTTTGTGGCAACCCAGCTTTAAGTAACCAATCCATGTCATTCTTCCAACAGCATGTGCTCACTTCATGTTTCTATGTCAGCATTTTTAGCCATAAAGTATTTTTTTTTGAGACAAGGTATTGCTCTGTCACCCGGGCTAGAGTGCCGTGGCACCAGCCTAGCTCACAGCAACCTCAAACTCCTGGGCTCAAGCGATCCTCCTGCCTCAACCTCCCGAGTAGCTGGGACTACAGGCATGCGCCACCATGCCTGGCTAATTTTCTCTACATATTTTAGTTGTCCAGCGAATTTCTTTCTGTTTTTAGTAGAGACAGGGTCTCGCTCTTGCTCAGGCTGGTGTCGAACTCCTGAGCTCAAACAATCCACCCACCTCTGCCTCCCAGAGTGTTAGGATTACAGGCATCAGCCACCACGCCTGGCCAATAAAGCATTTTTTAAATTAAGGTATTAATATGTGCATTTTCTGTAGACACAGTGCTATTGCATACTTAAGAGACGACAGTATAGTGTGAATATAACATTTATATGCACTAAGAAACAAAAACTTTGTGTGACTGGCTTTATTTTGATACTCCCTTTGTTTTGGTGGTCTGGAGCCAAGCTTGCAATATCTCCGAGGTATGCCTGTATGTATTATACTTCTGCGAATGTTAGAAAAGTGTACACAGACCACCACAATCAAGGTGTAGAACACACCATCAACCCCAAAGCTCCTTCTCGCCCCTTTGCAGACAATCCTGCCACCCGCTTCTCTGAGCAGCCCCAGATGACCTGCTTTCTGTCCATGTAGATTGGTTTTTGCTTCTTAGAGGATTTCGTGTAAGTGGAATGATTATCATCATATAGATATCTTCCTGTGTGTCTGGCTTCATTCCCTGGGCGTGTTTTTAAGATACAGTCATCAAGTTGCATGTAGCAGTGATTCATACAGTAGAATAAAAGTATTGTGTGGCTATACCATAATTGCCCGTTCATCAGTTGATGAACATTTGAATTGTTTCCAGTTTGGTGCTGTTGTACACGTGTACACAAGTGTCTGTGTGGATATGTGTTTTCATTTCTCTTGTGTAATTATCAGGCATTGCTAATGGTGTGGTAGATACACCCTGACCTTTGTAAGAAACTGCCAGACATTCCGCTGAAGTGGCTGTATCCTCTTGCCTTCCCAGCAGCGATGTGTAGGAGCACAGTTCCCCACCTGCTCTCCCACCTTTACCCACCGTTGGTATTGTTGGTCTTTTTAATGTTAGCCAGTCTACTGGGTGTTTCTTGGTGGTGTTAGTAGCATTTTCCCTAATGACCAGTAAAGAACTTCCTTTAAGGTGCTCACTGGCCCTTTGTGTATCTTTTGCCATGGGTCTGATCAAACCTTTCGCTCTTTTTTAAATTGGATTATTTGTCTTGCTGAGTTGTAAGATTATTTTTTTATGGTATCTACGCAAGTCCTTTGTCAGATACATAGCTGTGTGTTTTTGGAATATTTTTCTCCCAGTCAGGTGCTCACCTTTTCCTTTTTATAACGGTGTCTTTTGAAAAGTAAACGTTTTTAATTTTAGTGGTCCGATTTATTAATTTTTTTCTTTTATAGTTCATAGTTTTTATGTCCTAAGAAATCTCGGTTCTATCCCAAGGTTCATGAAGATTTTTCTCTTATCTTTTCTTCTAGAAATTTAACAGTTACAGCTTTAGGTTTATAATCTGTGTTAACTAGTTTTATACTGTTAAACTCAGCCTCTCATTTCTGGTATAGACTGAACTTTGACATGGTCTATATTTTTTTTAACTAGTTGCGAGACCCAGTTTGTTACTGTCTGTTCCAGTGTCTGAGTTGCCTGGTGGGTTGACCCATGATGCCACTTGGGGCTCACCTCCTCAGGCTTCAAGGTGAAGGTTTTATAGCCTCGTAAAATGAGTTGGGAGTGTGCCCTCTTATTCTCTTCGGGACAAATTTGAATTCAGTTGGAATGATTGTTTTCTTTGAATGTGGGTGAAATGCCCCAGTGGAGCCATTTGTCCCTCGAGTTGACCCCAAAGTCTTGGCCAGGACGACAGAACCCTTTAACGTTGGGGACCTTAAAAGTCTGGAGAGTGTGGAGGAAAGAGCCGCCTTGCCTCGAGGGCTGCGGGGCACACCTTGTCGTGGGCGTGGGCTGCACAGCCCAGTTTGGGGAGATTCGCAGTGAGGTTGCGCCCTGGCTGTGAGGCAGGGTGGCGGAGGTGGAAGCTGGCTGTGCGCTGACTGCCCCTGGGCTGTGGCCTGCCCAGGCTGCATCCCCCTGGTGGTGTCGGTGGTGTCAGAGGCCGGTGGAGCCCTGGTGGTTGCTGCGAGGCTGCATTTGCTGCAGGCACGCCATAGAAAGCCGGATCCCTGGAGATCCACCTCCTGGGTTTATTGTTGTTGAAAGTCAGTGGACAAAGCCTTCTAGGCTAGCTTTCCTCATATTCTGGGAAGGGATTGAGTTGCTGCATTCTTGCTCCCTGAGGGATGACAGTGGCTCTGCCTGGGAGAAGGACTGTTCCAGCCACGGTGGGCTCCATCCCATCTCCTCATGGAAGGCTATCCTGCGTTCTCCCCTCACTGCCCCGCCGTCCCTGCCGCAGAATCCGTCTTCTCCCCTGCACGGCCCCCAGCTGCTGTTTCCTGACGGAAGGCTGAGACACATCTGACAGTGCTCTGCGTGTTCCCCGAGCGTGGGCCTCTGTGGGGCGGCAGGGAGCCTGGCTCCGCATGTGTGTACTTTACAGGCAGTGTGTGTAAGAGCCAGGTATTTGGTTAGCTGAATCGACAGGCCTCAAAACCGCCCTGAATGCTGAGAGTGCTGTGCCAGGTGGGGCCCTCTTTGGACAGAAAGGGGGCGGCTGCGTGGGCGTCGTCCTTGCTGAGCTGAGGCCTGCCATCCAGAGCACACGGGAGTCTGGTCGTCTACAGATGACCAGAGTGTCTTTCTGGAGTTGGGTGTGGGGCAGGGGATTGCAGCAGAGCAGTGTCCCCGGGCTCAGCCGGCTTCTGCTGCTGTAATGCCTGAAGAATAAACCGCACCAACAGCTCAGTCCCTTACAGCAGTGGTCCCCAACCTTTCTGGCACCAGGGACCAGTTTCACAGAAGACAATTTTTCCATGGACTGGGGATGGGGGAGGGATGGTTTCAGGATGATTCAAGCATGTTACATTTATTGTACACTTTATTTCCATTATGCTTACATTGTAATATATAATGAAATAATTATACAACTCGCCATAATGCAGAATCTAATGCTGCCACTGGTCTGACAGCAGGCGGAGCTTAGATAGCAATTGTGGGATGAAGCTTTGCTTGGTCACTGTCCACTCACCTCCTGCTGTGTGCCCGGTTCCCAAGAGGCCACGGACCGGCACCAGTCTGAGGCCCAGGGGGGTGGGGACCTCAGCCTCACAGCAACAGACATCCATTTTACACCCATGGCTCTGCAGGCGGGCTGTGGTTTGGCTGGGCCTCTGGGTCAGGCTGGATTGGGTTGGAATCAAGTTCAAGGTCTTCATTCTGGAGCCCAGGTGGAAGGGGCAGCAGTACTTGGCACACCTTCTTCTAACAATCGCAGGAGCCAAAGGGCAGGCCAGCCTCACAAATGGCTTGGCAGGGGTTGCACGGCATGTGCCATGGCCAACTCTGGTAGCCACATAAGGCTTACAGTCGAGCCCAGCCCGGGTGTTGTGTGGCAGGGATGCAGTTTCTGTGCGCAGTGGGGCCCCTGCACGGTCCACGGCAGAGACATGGGGAGCAAGTCCAACAGCCGTGGAACAAGAATCCCACCAGCGCTTCTCTTCAGCGCCCCTGGGGAGATTCGGAAGTTCTGGAAGTATCTGTCACCTGTGTATGTGGCATATAAAATGCCTGGCACTTAGCAAGTTCTCCGGTGTTTGTGTGACTCAATAAATGAGCAAAACCCACATATGGTTCTAGTTTGATTCTTTGTAGAAGAAAGTTGAAAGTCATGTTACCAAAAGGAGCCACAGGTCTTACAAGTTGCTTAAAAACTAATGTCAGAAAAATGCCATCCTATGTGCCATTTCCCTGGTTTTACTGACGTTCTGCCTCAATTCTTTGTTTCAGGGAAATAGTGGAGCATATGGTCCAGCACTTTAAAACACAGATCTTTGGGGATCGGAAACCAGTGTTTGATGGGAGGAAGAATCTGTATACAGCCATGCCCCTTCCGATTGGGAGGGATAAGGTAAGCTCATGGAGATGCGCCGGGATCAGGGCTGTGCAGGGAATTAAAGTTCAAACGTGTTGTAAAGTCAGTGATTCCTCTTCTCACACACTGACCCCTTTCACCTGGGAGGAACCAGCAGCTCATTGGCCACGTGCTTCACCGTGAGACCCATAAAAACTACTTTCCCTGTGTTGCGGTTTTCAGTGATGGAGGGTTAACTAGTCTAGGTCCAGACACAGATAATGGGAACTTCTTGAAACCACCAAACTTTTAAGTAGAAAATACACACACACCCCTGCAAGCCACAGACCACCACCAGACGAGAGCCCGGATTAAGCATTGGAATGCTAAAGACCCATGGAAACGTGTTCACGCAGGGGTGTGTGTGTGCGTGGGAGCCCGTGGCAGCAGAGTGAAGTTACCGTCCTGCTGTAGCCGGTGATTCATCTGGAATCAGGATGCTGATAATTAGTCAGCCGGAAAGTAGTGGTTATATTAAAATGTCACCTTTTCTTCTTATCTTTATCTTTATCGTGGCTTTATTTAAAAAGTAATAAAATTTCTGCTTAGAAGTTGTCACTTCTTGGCACCGTCTTTCAACAGATGTGCTACTCCTGGGTGAGAATGGGTGTGGTTTGGATGTAGGGGAGCAGAGACCTGGCTCAGAAATAATCCCTACGCATACTTTAAAAAACAAACAAAACAACCAGTAATTTAACAACTGTGAGGATAGAAAAGCTGAATTCCTCTGGGAATGACCTACACATCAGCTTCCTAAACCCCAGGTCCCTCAGAAGGAGGCTAGCTCAGTGCCCTGAGAATCTCAAACTGCAGGGACACACGTTTTAGGGGGTGCATAAGGGGTCTGCAGGTTCTCTCTACAGACGTTAAAATGGTTTTGCTCTTGCATTTTATTGATAATCTTAAAATGAGAAAGTGCCTTTCAGCCTTTCTGGACAGCCAGCAGGGCTGGGATCCTGGCCCCAGTGGTCCTGCCCCAGGTTGTGGTACTCTGACAGGAGGAAGGGCTGTGACTGAGGCTCCGCACCAGACCATCTCTTGGGTTGTCACTGCCAGCCTGTGGTGACAGCCGTCCTGTTCCCAACTGGAGGAATCCTAGATCTGTGTGTGTTTCAGCTAAGCAGGACACCCCTTGCAGATTAACATGCTGTGAATTTGAAATTTACAGATTTTAAAGTTTTGTGTTTAATTTACAGATTTGTTTTTGCTTAAAGTTACATAAGAGAGAAAAGCATTAGCAGTCTATTCACGGTTTTGTCTGTACGTATTTATAGGTGGACACGGGAGGGGCACAGGGATAGTTTTCCTCGAGAGGGGATGGGGGAGCCTCGTGTTCAGATCTGAGCCATGTCATTGAAGACGTTGACAGCGCAGAGGCTCTGGGGTAAGCATGGATCTGGGCACGTTGTCCTCGCCTCGCCCATACTGCGGTGAACTGTGGGTGCGCGGCCTCACCTGTGGAATGGAGAGTTGTGATAGAAACCACCTCCCGGGGTCTTTGTGAGAATTAAATGATCGAGTACAGCCTAGAAGAGCTTCCCCACCTTGATATGTGTACCGTGTCCCTGAGCTGCTGCCACTGCTGCTGGTCTGCAAGCCACACCGAGCACTGAGGGTCAGAGCACGCCGTTACAGTGCCCGGGACATGCCAAGCACTCAGCAGACGCTGGAGATGGCAGGAACTGGTCCGGCAGCCTCGCCGGTGGCCAGAGCAGCCTTCTGGGGTGCCCAGGCGCCCACAGGTGCCCTTCAAATGCACAGCCCCATACCAAGTGGGCGCTCAGTGCCTCTTAAGTTTAATCCCGACCATCCTTTCTTCAGATGAAAAACTCGAGTCCCAGAGGTTAGAGAACCTACACAAAGCCTCCACTTAGCACAGGGGTCCCCTGATTCCAGACCACACTCCTTCACCATTTGTGGGGTTCTGTCAAATATCTGTGGTGTGCAGACATTAACCCCTCTGTCTGAGAGCCCAGATGAGGAGGTGTCCCTATCCTGTGCCCATACTTTCACATCAGGAAGCAAAGTGCCATCTCGGGGGGTTCTTTGCGTGGCTCTGTTTTCTGTGAGGTGACTCTTCTGTGCATCGTCTGCGGCGTGAGCAGAAGTGTCAGTGCTCTGTTGTCCCAGTGTCTGCTGACAGGCAGGACGGGGACTGTGGCAGCTCCCACCCAGGTCTGTGCACAGAGGGCCCCGAGTCATGTCGCCCTCACTCAGGATGGTCTCTCTTTAAGCCCCTCCTTGATCTCTCCCGCGAAAACATTGGCCTCACTCCCAGCCCCTGTGTGGCAAGAGAGACCAGTGCTGTTACGGCCGGGAGACCCCGTGAGCCCCTCCCTCACGTTTCAGAGCAGGAGGCTGAGGCCCAGGAAGCTGTCCAAGTCGATCCACATTTTGGGTTTAACTGCTGGATCTTTCTTGGCAGTAATGAGGTGTGATCTGTTGTCTTTTGCCCCTGCTCTGGGTCTAGCCCTGTGCCTCCCTCATGGGGTGCCCACAAAGGCCTGCCGCCTCCTGGAGCTGAAGCCTCCCCATTAGAGCGCGGGTGTCTCCTTCTTAGTCGGAAGTTAGGGCAGATGTACAGCTCAAATCGATAACATACCCTGCTGGAAGCAATTTGCTGCGGAGCAAGTCAGCCACTCATAAAATTTTCTGCCGAAGGAAACAGGTTGCCTTGTACACCTGCCTGTCCACCTCTGCATGGGCTTGGCCACAGATGCACCCAGCTGGTACCTGCTGACCTGGCACAGGAGGCCAAGGGAGGGCAGGCGGAAGTAGCGGAGATGCCTGGGCGGGGGCTGCGGGGTGGAGGGGTAGGGGCTTCTCCTTGGGCAGCACATAGGTGGAGGCTCTGCTCACCTCTGGGGCTGACGTGCTGCCTTGTGGGGCTGAGGGTCCCTCCAGTGAAGCCACAGCATTAGTCCATGTGCCTTGACGCAAGCTGTGCCAGTGCAAGGTGCTCAGGAAGTGCCTGCCTGCGCAGCAACCCCTGTACTGTACCTGCCGTGTTGCCCGCCAGCCCGACTCTGAATGCCCCATACACTTTGCAGACATGCTGGGTGAGACTGGTTTTTATAGTAGGGTGTTTCGCAGGGGCAACGATCTGCTTTTTGAGGAGAGGTTTTGCTATGCAAAGTCACAGAATGCCTTTAGACATCAGCTCTCTGGGCACATTTAAACAGACGTGACCTGCACGTACCCTTCTGGAAAGGGCCTGTGGCACCAAGCCTGGCAGCTGTTGCCCTGGCCAGGACTCTGGCAGGCGCAGTGGGTGTGACCGCTCTTCCCGCAACCCTGGGGAGGGCCACGTCCGGGTCCTGGTCCTCTCGGCCAACCAGACCTGCCTGCCAGTGCCGCGCTCCCTCCTTAGTGGCAGAGGACAGGGAAGCCAGGGGCCTCTGCCAGCACCACAGTCAGGTTTAGGACAAGAAAATCCTTTTGAAACGCAGCTGTTTCTTTGAGCTTTCTCTCTCGGCTTCGTACACAATTTCTTTGTGTTCTTTAAAGTGCTGTTTTCCCTTTCTTTGTTTCTGAGTTGTGTAGTGGAACCAAAACAGAAATCTTCCTATTACAGTTCTGATTCTCTCATCCTGATGATTTTCAGAGGGAGTTTGGGGTTAGACTTATGGTTTCTCTGGAAAGATTGGATTTCACAACTGCTTCAACATTTTCCAGGCCCTCAGTTGGGGCCATGGACTGACATTTTCCATTGTCCGTGTTCAGAAAATGGCAGTTGTGGCATCTCCAGATCACAGACGGCTGTTCACAGAGCGCTGGAGTCCACAGTTGCTCTGTAAGGTGGGTGGGGCCGCCTGCGTGTGCCCTCATGTACAGAAGGGGCCTAAAGGAGCCACCTGCGCAAGGTGAGACCATAGGAGGCTGCAGAGCTGGGGGTCAGGCCTGCGTCTGTGCACTTCTAGTCTGTGACCTTTGAATGTTGTGTCATTGGGACTGACACAGCTTCAGGCTGTTTGGAGACGGAAGTGTGTCGGGTGTGGAGCAACTGCGGGCCAGCACCCGGTTGCACACAAGGGCTGCTTTTCAGAGAGGCGTGTGTCACTCTGGCTTCGCGGTGTGGCGGCTGTGCTAAAATCTCCACTCAGCCCTCAACTACCGTGCACGTGCTCAGCCAGCTGCTGCGGATGCCGTGATTGGTAAAGAATGTTGTAGAGCCTGGGGTGGTTTGCTATCCTTGGCAGCCAAGAGGAGGCTGGACTAGAATATGTTTTGAAATTGCATATGTTTTGCTGTAGGAAAATACACCCCCTGGAATGCCCCCTCAGTTTTGATTACAGAAGCGTTTTTGAAGGAGAGCATGAACAAGCATCTAATTAGTGCCAATTCACAGCGTTATTGTTTAGGTACGTTGAGTGCTGTGTGGTGGAGATGTGCACAATAGGCTTAGAGTACCTACTGGCGAGGTGGATATGTAATTTAGAAATTAGTGCGTTGGTTTCCATTCACGTGCTCACTCCCGCCTGTGAGCTGCAGCCCTGGGGGGCCATTTCTGGATAAGTGGATCAGCCCTCACTCTTGTCTGCTACCAGTAACTTCTGTCGTCACAACCAGGTCCCTGCCAGTCCATACCGGAGTCACGCCCCCATGCCCAGCCAAGCCACTGGTCCTGGCACATCAGGCTTCGTCTCCTTTTCTGGAGTCAGACTGTTTGAGGCGGGCAGTCATCTCTTCTGCTTTCTGCCACGTGGGCTGGTCTCTCTGGATCTGCTTCCGTAACTGAAAGTAAAGTTGGGGACCAGAATGGCAGGGGTAATAGATCATTAGTCAAATGAAATAATGCCTGTCACTTTGTTGGTTCTGTGTCAGATAGTGGCTTTTGGTTACTGTTACTTTTTTTTTTTTTTGGAGACAGAATGAGACTCCGGAGGCTGGATTGCAGTGGCAAGATCACAGCGCACTGCAGCCTTGACCTCCTGGGCTCAAGCTGAGACTACAGGTGTGCACCAGCATGCCCAGCTAGTTTTTGTTGTTGTTGTTGAAGAAATGGGGTCTCAAAGTGTTGCCCAGACTGGTCTCAAGCTCTGGACCTTAAGCAATCCTTCTGCCTTGGCCTCCAAAAGTTCTGGGATTATAGGCTTGAGCCACTGCCCTGGCCTTTTATTACTTTTATGTGACTTATTTCAAATTGTATTAGGAAATACACTAAATGGAAAAAATACATATATACAGTTGACCCTTGAACAATGCAAGTGTTGGGGCACTGACCCTGCACAGTCAGAAATCCACAT